AGAAAAAGGGAAAAAAAACTAAATTTTAAAAAACTAAATTACTAAATAGAAAGTTACTAAAAATAAGTAGTAAATACCTGAATAGATAGGTAGAAAAAAAAAGAATATATATATATATATATATATATATAAAACAAGGTGTTTTATATAAATACCAAACCTCAACTATATTAACTTTAGTTCTCAAGGAAAGAGAATAAGAAAGTAAAAGGGGTCATCTGGAGTTAAGAAAGTAAAAGGGGTCATCTGGAGTTAAAAAAGTAAAAGGGGTCATATTGAGTTAAGAAATTAAAAGGGGTCATCTGGAGTTAAGAAATTAAAAGGGGTCATCTGGAGTTAAGAAAGTAAAAGGGGTCATATTGAGTTAAGAAATTAAAAGAGTTCAGATTGAGTTTTACTTTATTTTCTATTAAAAAGCATCAACTTCGTTGAAGAGTCTCAGAAGTATGATACTCTTCAAAGTGTTGTACACACAGTTGAACTTTGCATTTCTTGCAAACCATCTTAATTAATCTTGTGCTGAGGTACAATCTGCACGTTTTCTTTAACAAGTGCTTCCCAGGTGATAACCATTCATGTGTGTCTGCTAGAACTAGTGTTTGAACACTTGCCAACCCTTCTCTACTTTAAATTAGTGGTTTCACAAAGGAATCCACAAATTGTAAATGGAAGTCCTTCTGTTTGTACTTGCCCTGGTTAGTTACCTGTTTGAAAAGTATGAGAGAATTAACAATAGACACGTCAACAAGTCTAAAGAAAAGCTTCTTATACCATTTGACAGTTTTATGTGGAATGGAATAATAGCCAAGAAATTGATCACTAAGATCATAAACTTGTTGTAATCTGTGGCTTGTCAATCATGTCAACCTGTCCTCTTGTCACTTCCATTATTGTGCATTGTAGAAAAGCATGAACATATCTTTTTTTTTTTTCTGTCCACTTCACAGCAGTCATTGAGCTACATCTGAAAAACTGTGATTAATCCCTTTCTAACTTACCTTCAAACATATGTGGGAAGTGAATCCTGTTCTTCCTACAAGTGCCACAAGCATAAGTGCCAAGTGAAAGCAATTTATCAAACAGAGTTAGAAATGTAGAAAAGTTGTCAGTAAAAAGAGACTGTCGCCCTCCAAGGTAGTCTTCCTCAGAGTCATTACAACTGTGCTAGTGAAGCCCTTGGAAGGTATAGATCCCTCTTTACCAGTATATATTTTAATATTTAAACAGTATCCACTCACAGCTTCTGCCACAACCCATAGTTTAATGCCCCACTTTGTAGGCTTGTTAGTTAGATATTGTTTAAATGAAATTCTTCTCATTTGTCCATCAACAGATAACTCCCCAGAAGGGTTATAGTGAGCTGGAAAAGCTGATAGTAGATAATCAAGCACAAGCCTGATTTTGAAGAGTTTATCATACTTAGCATCAGTTTTAGGTAGATTATCAATATTGTCATTGAAATACAGGAAGAGAGCAATAGTTAGGAATTTGTCTCTGGAAAATATTGAAGAAAACCAGGAAAGGAGTAATCTGAAAGAGATGGTAAATGAACTATACCCACGCCAATGGTAACAGCTAAAACTGCATCTGATCATTCCTCCTTTGTTTATATTTACCTTTTCCCATTGCTGTTGTGCAAATCTTTTAGTTTCTCTAGTAGTTTTGGTGACAATGTTGATGGTTGAGGATTCTGACACCTGTGAGCTTGACGGAAAACAGGCTCTCTTCGGATGAAGTTCCTCAACAATTTGAGTTGCTCGCTCATCTTTGTGGACTTCCCATTTCCACTCTGCACTACATGCCAGAGGTTTTGTTGTGTCTTTTTACCTCTGGCCGTTTTGGAAGTGGACAGAGTGCTGTTTGTGGGAGGAACAGTAACAGCATCCCCCAGACTGCTGTGGATCATGAGGAGAGTCTTCTTCCCCTAAGGGTAGGTCAGGCTCTTCCAACAGCAGTGAATTTGTACAAGCTGGTTCATCTTCATCCACTGGTGTTGATGTAATGGCTTCCTTCTCTGACTTGAAGAAAGAATCTCTTCCTCAGAGAAGGAAGCGAAAAAGGAGTAAAAGGGCTTCATCCACTGATAGATTGTTCTTTCTTCTTTCAGTGAAGCCAAAACCTCTTTGGATGCCATCGAGGAAACTTTTAGTGTATCGATAATATTCTGTTGATATAATGAAAACATTATTTGCATATATATATATATATATTTCAATTTGTCTGTTGATTTCAGTATCTTTATATCCTCTTTGTAACATGGTTTGTTTTAGATCCTTGGTGTGTTTTCTATAGTCTATTTCATCGGAGCATATTTTCTTTATGCTAAGAACTTGACTGTTTACATAATGTATACAATGTGTAGCAAAAACAAGTGTGGCATTACAAAATTTAGGCCACATTTTTCACATTGCAAGTAATCTTACCTTATAAAAACGTTGGATTATTCCTTGAATAAACGTACTGTGGTTTTTCTTTCTCTCTGCAGAGTAAAATATGTTAGTAGTGTTTCCTGTTCTCGGAACTTGACAATCATAAGAAATTAATAATTTATGTAAATACCAAGTATAGCTAGTACATAAAAGTAATTAATTTAATTTATTCATAAAATTGTAAATGTTTGTAACGTTACATCATGCTTTATCGTACGCTATCGCTCCATGTACATGTTTGATGTATAAACCTAAACATAAATCATAAAATATACTGAAAACTACTTTTATTAAAGAATTTGTTTGTTTATTTTTAATTTCGCGCAAAGCTACACGAGGGCTA